CTCTCTTGACTAGAGAAACTTTAAGAAGAAAGCAATAATATAACGTTTCACATGTTCACACTGATTAACTTCTAGTGCAATGACTATTTTGTAACAAACAAGTGTGAGGTGAAATGAAAGTGCTCAGTGTGATATTTGACTATGAACAAAAGGTTTTTCTTCCCGTTTCCTACAGTTTTATTCCACCAATATTCAGAAGTGGTGTATATAAAAACACAGACACACTTGTACACATGTCCTGCAAGTACGTATGCTTGTATTGTATATCCATACCTCCAGAGTTGAGTATGAATTTTGTCAGGAAGATAACGATAAATATGATTGAAATAAGTAAATAGTTAAATAGCTTGTATAAAGAGCACATTATTTTACAAAACCCTTTTTTGTGATATTTTTAATGTTGTCCAGCTACTGAAATATGTTTTTTTTCTTCTTAAAGTGTAGATCCTTCTGTTTCATTAGCTTTGTACCCTCATGATGGACATTTTCTAACTCTGTATTGCTACTGTTTGCACATAATGTTTGAATCGTATAATTTCTCATAGAATAGTTTAATAGAAGTTACATTTTTTCCTATTTTTAATTTTATTCAAACACTATCACTGATTAACAAAATTTCTATGTGTAACTAAATTGTTTGATGTGCATATTTTCATTCAGTCTTTTAATATTTAGCGAGTTAATGTTAATGAGCATAACAGACGGACATCTCTGTACCAATAAATATTTAGCAACAGCTCTTTAGTCTCTTCACCATTGCCACTCCCACTGCATAAGACCCTTACCGTATCCCTAACAAACCCCACATCCTATGATGCCTGTACCAGACACTGTGCCCTACACACTGCAAATATGGAGTATCCAGCAGAGCTGTGAACTCGTATCCCAATTTAATCTGTGTGTGAATAAAATCAGTCCCAAAATGTCCATCGAGCAACCCACTAGATTCAATTAAAAGATGTGGGTTCCAAAGGACATCTACAGAGGCTCTTCGCTTATGCTGTGATGGTCCAGTACTAGGTGGACTTAAACACTATCATGCAGGTAGTGGTGAAATGTACTTATGAGTGGCTGTTGCGCCCTGCTGTCTGATGATCACTCATAGAGTCAAAAATGTTTATAGCTGTTCCTGACGACCATTCTGGTGGGGAAAAGCAGGCTGTCAGTGGGCGGGATGAGATGCGCTAATTGTTTAATTAAGGGGATGAAAGCGCACATTTTCACAGTCTATCCTGGAAGCAGTTATTGTGTTGAACTCATTTGTACACATGAAAAGTGGCAGAAAGAGTTGTGAGAAGAATGAGCTTGAGGAGAGTTCAGTTGTTGCTTTCTTTTTCACTCCCACTCTCTTGGACCATCAGTGTTTGAAGTGGGTGCGAATGGCAGATTGTCAAATTTGGAAAATTGCAGGAACCCCCATTCTTAGTGTTTCACAATAGTAAGGTGTCAGAGGGAGTTTGTTCAAATACTCTTACATTACTGCAAAAACGCAGCTGTTGAACCATCCTGGAGTACTACAGCAGTGGTTGTTTTTATGTGTTTGGGTGACGCTCCATCCCCAGCTGCCTAACAGACTGCAGTTCAGCTGAGCAGCTTAGCATGAAAATGTGGAAAGCTGCAAGTCTAAGAGCTCAGATGCTCACTCAACTTCATCTGACCCCAAACCTAAGGCAAGGATTTGAAACAATGTTCAGTTGAACGAGTCCTACTCTTTGTTCAAGACTATACCAAACACCTGTGAAAGGCTGTAGCTTTGAACGCAGCAGGGTACGAACACTACTTTCAGAAATGTGTGAATTTAGAAGAGAACATTAAGCTCTGCATTGTGACAGCTTGTTTATTTTCTGAATTTTCCTGTTAGAGATCGAGGTAGTCTGGCATTCATTTGGTTGTTTTAAAATCTCTTTTGGTTTCATCATTTTCAATTCCCTCTGTAATTTATTTTTTTTAATTTTTACATAAAAAAAAATAAAACCTTCAAAATCTGTTCTGCTCACTCTTTTGTCCATCGGTGTGGTCTGTTTTTTCCGCTGTGAACATAAAACCCATTTACCCCCTCTTTTTATTCTTGTATTAGGCCCATCTTTCATTCTCTCTCCACTCCCTCCATCTTCCATGAGCCTGAATAAAACAGCTAATGGAGCACAGAAATGGTAACAGCTCAGTCACTTCTGTAGACACTGTTATGTGTTGCAATATGTAAGAGGAGATGCATGTTTTCAAAGATATGTATTGTACTCATTCTATTTAATTTCATACATTTATTGTGAAACCCTGTAGGTGCTTTGAGTACATCAAAAAATGTCACACACCAGTCTGCTTTTGGTGTGTTTTCAATTATTTATTTTGTATTAGTTTATTTTTATTAAATTATAATTTGAAATTAAGCCATTTCCCAAAGTTGTAGTTCTGTTGTCTTGTCACAACAAACAATAGACTGGGCGCCTCTACACAGTTCAATATATGTATGTTAACAGGTTTGCTAAAAACCAGGACATGCTGTTGGTGGTCATAGAGATGGCCATAACAATAATGTTGATATTGATGTGTTTGTCCTTAGGTTTACATCCGCATCCTGGATAATGAGTGGAATGTGTACAGGCGTTACGCTGAGTTCAGGGAGCTTCACAACCACTTGAGAACAAGGTTTCCACAAGTGGATACCTTTGTCTTTCCACCTAAGAAAGCTATTGGAAACAAGGTGAGCTTATATGTTTTCTGTTCTGGTTAATAATGTGGAGAACTTGAACGGGATTCACACTATGAAGTTTTTGGTTGACATACTGTAGACATACTGTAAGGTCCTGAACTCTCTTGGCAGAGAATCCATGGCCCTTTAATCTTGGAATCTCAGAGACAGCTTGTACAAGCCAGTTCATAGCAGACTTGTTCATGCAGGTCTCACAAAAGGTGCTCTACACAAGACCTGACTCACTGAACTGTGGCACTGTATCGTCATCTAGCATTAGGTCATTGAGCCACCAGGCAGGCCCTCATATGCTCACACTCCTCCTTTTGTAGAGGTCTATGCAAGCCATCATCTGGAATATGTGACCTGCAAGTCCCCACCAGCAGCCAACGCCATTGAATGCCTGTTGTGATGTCTATTTGGGGCATGGGCACTACCTGGAGTCGAGGTCACAGCCCTCTTTCTCTTACATGCTGGGTCGAGGTTTGTCAGATGTAGAGTCTCAAGGAGGTTCATTTGCCAACTTCCCCTTCCCATAAACCAAACCAGAAGAAGTTGAAGGCTTTTTCTTCCCCCTTTTCTGGAGGGAAAGAACTTCCAAGATCTCATTGCGTGAGTCTCCCTCTTTAACATTTTTTTCATTAGAGGACCCAACAACATGTTGGTGTTCTTATCACCTGCACCCTCACACTGAATATATCTAGTAGACCCAGCAACAGACGAGGCAGAAGCCCTTGTTGTCACTGAGCCCCCAGACACTGAATCCTCTGGTTGCCCAGAGCTCGACACATAGGCATCAGGCTCCAAGGCCAGAGTAAGGTTTTTTTTTTCTAGTCACTGTACTGCTGACCTGCTCAGCCAGATTCCCTATCAGACAGTCCAGAGGCATGTTCATATGACCATCTGCAATACCTGCACCCAAGGCACCGTAGGCTGGCTCCCTGGAAATTTTAGAACCCCCTTTTGCTGTGTACTGGGGGCTGGTCCCTTGTCTGCTCATTTTAAAAGCATTTGTCAGTTTACTATCCACCAGGGTTGGACAACTAATGAGTGTTGACGGTACTCGGGTTTTAATTAAGAGTTTCCATCTCCTAAGCATGTTGCCTACCAGGGGAGTTGTGGCACAGAGGTTAGAGAAGGTGGACCTGTAAGATCGCCGGTTCAACTCTCGGTATTGACAACATCAAAATGTGGGTGGGATAGGAGAAGCACCCACACCTGCCTCCACCCTCATTTGCCCCACTCTGGGCCCTTGATCAAGGCCCTTAACCCCCACCATCTGCTCCTCCGGATGCCCTAGATGGCAGCTCTCTGCTCCATACAGAGGGCTGTGGTAGCTTGGTGGTCTGTGGATGTGTCAGGAAGGGCATCCGGCGTAAAAAATAATTACCAAGTCTTCGTGCGACTTAGTTCACTGTGGTGACCCCTGATGAAGGGAGAAGCCGAAAGAAGAAAAAAAAGGTGTGTTGCCTACCAAGGCAATTAAGCACCATCTGCCTGCTGCTTTTGCTTTGAGGTACCCTATTCGCCTTCCAGCTTAAACAGGCATACCCCTGGGATGCAGTTTTTGAGATGACTGTTTTTCTGCACTGGAATAGAACAGGGCATGCAAGGAAACCTTAATAATTTTGGTGCAAGATTTTTAAGTCGGTAGGACTTACACTGTGGAAAAGAATAGAGGTAGTTTTTATTTTATTTTATTTTTTGTCTGAGGCAGCGCAGAGTGACAGATCTGGCAAATGGAGGGAGCAGTTTTATCCACGACCAGGCACAATGGTGGAGCCAGAGGGTGGTCTATATTCTAGAAAGCAGTTTCCTCAAATATACTGTATGGTGGCGGTCATCTTGGATTTTGAGGTGGCAACCCAATTTTCAGCTGTGCCCTTTTTTACACCTAGATGCAGCTATGCACCAAAATTGAAGTCGGTGCATTGATTATTTCACAAGTTATCCACCTCACAAGGTTACTATATATACATATATTAAACATGTGAACTTATGAAACATATAAAAAATGGCTGCAACATGGCTTGTCTCGATTTACCCAGTGGAATTCCCTCTTGAGTTATGGCCAAACCCCACTGTAGCCTCTCATCTAAGGGGTATAACGAACTAAGTCTAAAACTTGAGTATTACCCAGAGTAATTTTAGGTTAGTTCAACTTAAGCTGTGTTGAAGGTGACTCACCCAGATTTGTTAACGACCTCCATCTGTGAGCCACAACCTTATCTCACCCTGTGGCTCGCCCAACCTAGCAACCGGAGTTGGATCGTCATCCACAGGAAACTCACATTAACGGTCGTTCACCTTCATTGTAGAATGTCACTTCTTAATGATCTGGTTCTTTTTAGAATCCAGGAAAAGGATTCCAGGATGTTGTCTTAATACTCACAGCTGAGAAACCCATTTAAAACCTCCCTATTTTGTTAGAGTTTAACCAAGCTTCTTAATCCATGAACATGAAGTGGTGAAACGATAATCCAGATTTTTACTTTATATGCTTTGCTTTAATCAATGATTTGCAGGGGAACAGCGTTAATGCACAATCCAAACAATGATTACATCTGGTTATATAGTAGAATCAGTAATTAAGAGTTCATACATTACTTGAGGGAGGTTCTTGTTAATTGATTTTGATGTCCAAGGGTTGGAAGTCCAATTAATGTTGTGATTTCCTTGCCCTGATAAGCTGAGATAGGAAGTTAGGAGTCCTTAAAGCTCTTACGAATTGATGGAGGAAAGCCTTCCTTTCATCTAGTTGGGTGATGTCTAGAAGCCCCAGTATGTGTTAGAACCCCAAAGGACTTTAAAACTCCCAGGTCATCTTATACGAAATTCCTCCAGACTGTTGTTATTTATCTTTTCAAAACCTATTCCATTGTTTGACATTCATGAACAGAGGACCCAAAATGTTGATAAAAATTAATCTGATTCCCTTGTTGGTTGGTTGGTTAAGTTGTCGCTATTATTTTGTAGAAAATTTGTAAAATGACGGTAAATTAGGATGTGTCCCTTTCCCTCACCCTCAGTCTACTTCTTTGAATAATTCTTTGATTGGAAGGCAGGGGAAAATCTATCTCCAAATCCCTGGAGAAGATGCGCCCCTCGCTCGAAAAGCTGTTCCAATTTTTAGAGGATTTGTGTTGGCCGAAATCCGGGCTGAAACTAAAAAGAAACTCCTATCTTGACTAAAAGGAGTCTTTTTCGGATTGTCCATATTTTCTTCAGCAGCTAAGAACAGTCCAATACTGGCCTACTTCCACCAGCTCCTTGAACAATTCAGCCTAGAACTGTAAGTGTGAGCTATAGTTATAGCTTTTAACTAGAGACTTGCCTGGACATGTCCATTATTTGGATCTGCCTTCCTAAGTGTAACCATCTACTCTAAGCCTATGATTGGTTCTTTAGGCTGTCATATTTACTAACTTCTGGAACATTCTGTTCTAACAGGTGTGCGTAAGGAGAGTGTTGCACTCACTAACTTCTGGAACATTCCGTTCTAAGTTTCATTGCCCTGTTCTGCTTAAGGAAGGTTACTACAGTTCAACACTTAGGAATCACTCTGTTCATTTCAGTCAAACATTACTGTTTAACATTCCAGATTACTGATTCTTTTCTTGACTACAATCTTTTCAACTTAATCACAAGTTGTAATCACATGTAAGTTTTTAATCACATGTAATCATATATATTCACTTACACAATCACTTTTAAAATATAAGAATACTCATTTAACAATGATTCAGGCATGATTTTAAAAATGTAAACACTTCCAGCGCTCACTGAGAAAAGTCTGCAGCTCTGCCCTGTACACTCACAGACACATACACAGAACATCTGGATTCACTTTGGGCCTCTCTTTGCCGCTCTTACACAAACACACGGCTCTGCACAGAGGACAAGCTGCCTGCATATCTCAACTTCTCAACTTGGTCTTTTAGGACTGATTTCACACAAAAATCGATATTATTTGACACTTGGCAACAACATTCCAGACAGTGCTATTCAGCTGGACGGGCTAGCATCATATCACGCAGATAAGAATGCATCTCAGTCCAGTAAAGTACAAGGTGGAGGAGTTTGTGTTTACATTAACACCAAATGGTGCAAGGACTCTGTGCTTGTTGTAGCGTACTGTTCTCCGATGGTGGAATTTGCTGTTGTTAGATGCAGACCTTTTTATTTACCATGCAAATTCACCAGTGTGCTCATAGTGGGGGGGTGGGGGGTGGTGTTCAAAGGTTTGCTCATATTGATCCAGATAAGCGACATTGGCGGCAGAAAACCAAAGATCCAGAAGCTGTTGTCGGTCATACACCTGCAGCGAGTTTATGTCCCAGATGAAAAACGAACAAAACACAAATAATCCAAACACCATCAACAGAGGTGGATTGCAAGCCATGTACACGGGCGCCATCTTACCGGATGTATGCCAAGTATGTGGAAGAATGTGGCAGGGCATCCAGGCCATCACAAACTACAGGACTAAACCACCTGCCTGTGACAGTGATGTCTCCCTTTCAGACGTGCTGAATGACTTCTACGCTCGGTTCAAGGTGTAGAACAACACGGTGGCAAGGAAGACCACCCAACCTCGCAACTACCAGGTGCTTTGTCTGATCACAGCTGATGTGAGGAAAACTCTATACAGAGTCAACCCACGGAAAGCTGCCAGACCACACAACATTCCCGGCAGAGTACTCGGAGAATGTGCAGACCAGCTGGCAGGTGTTCTCACAGACATTTTTAACATCTCCTTGAGCAGTGCTGTTGTTCCAACATGCTTCAAGACTACCACCATTATTCCTGTGCCGAAGAAGTCGTTGTGCCATGCTTCAACGTTTATCGTTCCGTAGCACTCCTATCACAATAAAGTGCTTCGTGAGACTCGTCATGCATCACATCAAGACCTAGCTGTCTCCCACCATGGAGCCACTGCAGTTTATGTACCGTCCTAACTGCTCAACAGACAACAGACACCACACTTCACCTGGATTCCACGCACTTGGACA